CAAAGCAGTGTCACATGACAAAACAGTGGTCAAAGCAGTGTGACAAAGCAGTGTCACATGACAAAGCAGTGTCACATGTCAAAGCAGTGTGTCAGTGTCTGCAGTGTCACATGACAAGGCAGTGTCACATGTCAAAGCTGTGTCACATGTCAAAGCAGTGTCACAAGTCAAAGCAGTGTCACAAGCAAAGCAGTGTCACATTGTCACAACAAAGCAGTGTCACATGACAAAGCAGTGTCACATCAGTGCCACATGTCAAAGCAGAGTCACATGACAAAGCAATGTCACATGTCAAAGCAGTGTCACATGTCAAAGCAGTGTCACATGACAAAGCAGTGCCACATGTCAAGCAGTGTCACATGACAAAGCAGTGTCACATGACAAAGCAGTGTCACAAGTCAAAGCAGTGTCACAAGCAAAGCAGTGTCACATGACAAAGCAATGTCACATGTCAAAGCAGAGTCACATGACAAAGCAATGTCACATGTCAAAGCAGTGTCACATGTCAAAGCAGAGTCACATGACAAAGCAGTGTCACATGACAAAGCAGCGTCACATGTCAAAGCAGTGTCACATCAAAGCATGTCACATGTCAAAGCAGTGTCACCAAAGCAGTCAAAGCAGTGTCACATGTCAAAGCAGTGTCACATGTCAAAGCAGTGTCACATGACAAAGCAGTGTAACATAAGCAGTGTCAAAAGCAGTGTCACATGTCAAAGCAGTGTCACATGACAAGCAGTGTCACATGCAAAGCAGTGTCACATGTCAAAGCAGTGTCACATGACAAAGCAGTGTCACATGTCAAAGCAGTGTCACATGACAAAGCAGTGTCACATGGCAGTGTCACTCAAAGCAGTGTCACATGACAAAGCAGTGTCACATGTCAAAGCAGTGTCACATGACAAAGCAGTGTCACATGACAAAGCAGTGTCACATGTCAAAGCAGTGTCACATGTCAAAGCAGTGTCACATGACAAAGCAATGTCACATGTCAAAGCAGTGTCAAATGCCAATACAGTGTCACATGTAAAAGCAGTATCAAATGTCAATACAGTGTCACATACCTAAGCAGTGTCACAAGTTAGAACAATGTCACACGCCAAAGCACTGCCACAAGTAAAAGCAGTGTCACATGCCAATACAGGGTCACATACCCTAGTAGTGTCATACCAAAATAGTGTCACAAGTAAGAGCAGTATCACATGCCAAAGCAGCGTGACATGGTAAAGCACTGCCATATACCCAAGCAGTCACACGCCAAAGCAGTGTCATATGGCAAAGCAGTATTACATACCCAAGCAGTCATATGCTAAAACAATGTGACATACACAAGCAGTGGCAAATGCCAAAGCAGTATCATGTCAAAAGCATCATTTACCCAGGCAGTGTCATGTGCTATAGCAGTGTCACATACCCAAGCAGTGTCATATGTAAAAGTGGTCTTACATACCCAAGCAGTATTATAAGCCAAAGAAGTGTCACATACCAAAGCAGTATCATATACCCAACCAGTGTCATATACCAAAGCAGCGTGTCATGGCAAAGCAGTGTCACATAAAAAAGGGGTAACATAACCAAGCAATGTCATATGCCAAAGCAGCGTGTCATGGCAAAGCAGTGTCACATACCCAAGCAGTGTCATATACCAAAGCAGCGTGACATGGCAAAGCAGTGTCATATGTCTCTCTTTCAGCCCGCCTACTGACAATCCTGGCATTCTTCTGTCAAGGGTAAGTCTACGTAATGGCCACTCCTGGACAGACTCGTGGGCGGGCGGCGGGAGGCGTCGCTGAAACGAAGCAAGGTGGAAATAATTGTATTTTGATTAAATTTGTAAAATAATAATAATAGATAAATAAAAAAGTAATAATAATAATTAAAAAATGTTAATCACCTCTCCTATTTTTGTTAGCGTCGTTGATAAAAAAATATTGTTCATCACCTCTCCTGTTCTTGTTTATGTTTGCTCAGCTATATATACATTTATTTATTTTTTTCTATTTGTCTATTTTTACAGGTTACTGAATATGTCATCCCTGAATATCGTTCCTATAATCTCTACAATTAGGATTTCATTCTGTGATTTTTTTTCTGTGTGATTTGTATTCATACTTTCAAAATGATTGAATAATTATGGAGGGAAAACATCAACAATGATAGTAATAATTTATATAAAACTATATGACAACAAACCAATAAAAAGAAACAAATGATAAAAGAACAACAGTTATATCTTTTATAATTATGATAAAAAAACAAGCACGGGGAATAATAGACGAATGAATGAATAAACAAAAAAACGAGAGGATTGCTCACATCTGCTCGATAGACAAAGGGTGGGCGTCGGGGCGGGGGGGGGGGGGGGGAGGGGGGGTAATGGAGACGGAAAGGAGGAGGAGAAGGAGGAAGGTAACGAAGAGGGAAAGAAAGGGGGAAGAGGAAGGGAGAATGAGGGAAAGGAAGAACGAGAAGGAAAAGGGTAAAGAAGTTAAAAAAAAGC